GGGGGGCACCCCCTTCTCCCCAGTGATGGTCACTAGCTGGCCTTTAACCACCACCACCCCCACTATCAACAACCCTGGGATGAGTATCTTTGCCCTGGGTCAGTGAGTGTGAGAATTTCCTTAACCCCTTTCACCAAAGCCAGTGGAATTGTCAGGTTGTGAAACTTGCAGATAATTAAGTTAATGAAGTTTTAGCCAATGACACTTTAGCGTGGCTCCATCGTGAGAGAAACAAAACAGGTTCTGCTCCCTGATTCTGCCTGCCTCACAGCTGGACCTGAGGCGCTGGGGCTTAGAAGCTGAGGAATTTGCAGCCTTTGTTTTCCCACCTTTGTTTTTCCATTCCATTCTGACAACTTCTCTTAAAAGCAAATTGAGGCTTAGTAATGGGGGAAGAGGAAAGGATGGGCAAGTTTACATTCAGTTCATATCTCAAAGTGTGGTCTGCACCGCATTAGCTACTATTACAAATGACTGATTCTAGGAAAGCTAGGAAAAGGCAGTGGAAAGCCAAGAGGGAAGATTTCGTAGGTGGGAGAGAGAATTTCACTCGGGAGTGAGCGCCCCTTGTGGTCTAATTACCCCATTACAACTTGAGTGATTCTCCCCTGTTAACCCCTGATTAGTTTAATAACACCTAATTCAATTCAAATGATATGTATTAGGCACCGTCTACGTGCTAGACCAGCGATGTCCAATTTAAATATAATTCGAGCTCCACGTGTAACCTTGAACGACTAGTCACTTTAAAAAGCTAAGAAGAAACAGGTGACATTAATTATAGTATATTTCATTTAACTCAATACAGCCAAACTATTAATCACTTCAAAATGCAACCAATATAAAAATTATCGCGATATTTCACCTTTTATTGTACTAAGCCTTCAAAATGTCCTCAGGACAGCACATGTCTATTCCATCACTAAATTTTCGTTAAAAACACCTGATCTCTATTCAGATTTCAAAACATTCACAGTTGTAGAGGTAGAGTCACAGACTTAAGTTGTTCCAAACATGTTTAAAGAGTTTCCAGCAGCTGAGTCGAGGCTTCATTATTTTAAAAATCTAAGTTTAAATCAATTACAATTAAATAAAACTTAAAGTTCAGTTTCTTAGTCACACCACACTTCAGGTACTCAACAGCTACACGTGACCAGTGGCTTACTTGTTGGACATTGGTTTACACCATTTCACCCTCAGAATAAGGTAGGAATATTATTATCCTTATTTTACAGAGGGGAAAACAGGCTCAGAAAGGGAAACTGACTTTTTGTCATTTAAAAAATATTTATTGAACATCTTTTGTATGTCAGGTTCCCTCCGAGAATTTCAGGACAAACTGGTGAACAAAATACACATGATTCCTGGCCTCAAGGGGGTTATGGGATAAAATCAGAGAAAGACAAAAAAAAATTTATAAATTGTGATTAGTTCTATGGCAGAAGCAAACAGGATAATGAGTTAGAGTTAATGGCAAACCATGACTCCCAAGCTAAAAATGGTTTTCATGTCTCTGTATGGTTGAAAAAAATTCTAAAGAAGAGAGTATTTTGTGACAAGTGAAAATTATACGTATTTCAAATTCCAGTCTCTATGAATAAAGTTTAATTGGAACATAGCCACCTCTATTCATTTCCATATTGTCTGTGGCTGGTGTTCTGTTACAATAGCAAAAGGAGGGAGAGTATAGCTCCGTGGTGGATCTCATGCTTAGCATGCACTAGGTCTTGGGTTCAATCCCCAGTACCTCCTCTAAACATCAATAAATAAATTTAATTACCTACTCTCCCCATAAAAAACCAACTAAACAAAAACTACCAAGAGAACTATGTATGGGTCAGAAAGCCTAAAATATTTACAACCTGGCCCTTTACAGAAAGTATTTCAGATCCCTAAAACAGAGAGTAACAGAGACAGACATGCTTTACAGTGGGTAATCTGGAGGACTTTTCAGAGGAGGTGATATTGAAGTAGAGAAGCGTCAGGAGACATTTGGGAAAGTCTGAATATGGTTAAATGGATCAAACCAATGTTAAATATCCTGAGTGTAAATTTAACTACTCTAGGTACCTCATATAACTAGAATCACACAGTATTTGTCTTTTTTGACTGGTTTTATTCCATTAGCATAATGACCTCAAAGTTCATCCCTGTTGTAGCAGGTGTCAGAAATTCCTTCCTTTTTAAGACTGATAATATCTCATTGCATGTATATACCACATTTTGTTTATCCATTCATTGATTGATGGGTTGCTTCCACAATGGGTTTCAATTTTTGGGAATAATGCTGCTATGAAACTGGGTATACAATTATCTCTCCCAGTCTCTGCTTTCAAATCTTTTGGATATAAGAACACTCATGGACATACATTACAGCAATATATTTTTTGAACCAGCTCCTGGAGTAATGGAAATAAAAGCAAAAATTAACAAATGAGATCTAAATAAACTTAAAAGCTTTTTCACAGCTACAGATACCATCAACAAACAAAAAGACAACCTATAGAATGGGAGAAAATATTTGCAAATGATGTGACTGACAAGGGACTAATTTCCAAAATATACAAACGGCTCATACATCTTAATACCAAGGAAATAAGCAACCCAATCCAAAAATGGACAGAAGACCTAAACAAGCAATTCTCCAGTAAAGACATACAAATAGCCAATAAGCACATGAAAAAATGCTCGGCATCGCTAATTGTCAGAGAAATGCAGATCAAAATTACAATGAGATATCACCTCACACCAGCCAGAATGGCCATCCTGAAAAGTCTACAAATGATAGATGCTGGAAAGGTTGTGGAGAAAAGGGGACCCTCCTACACAATTGGTGGGAGTGTATCTTGGTGCAGCCACTATGGAGAACAGCATGGAGGTTCCTTAAAAAACTGGAAATAGAGTTACCAGGTGATCCAACAATCCCACTCCTGGGCATATATCTAGAGAAAAATACAATTCAAGAAGACACATGCACCCCAATGTTCATAGCAGCACTATTTACAATAGCTAAGACATGGAAACAACCCAAATGTCCATCAACAGATGACTGGATAAAGAAGATGTGGTATATATGTACAATGGAATACCATTTAGCCATAAAAAGGGATAAAATAATGCCATTTGCAGCAATATGGATGGACCTGAAGATCATCATTCTGAGTGAAGTGGGCCGGAAAGAGAAAAATGCCTTATGACATCATTTATATAAGGAATTTTAAAAAATTAATAATAATAATAAGGACACAAATTAACTACTTATTATTTATAACTTATATGATTGATTTCTTGATATGTGTAAGCCCATTTGACTGTCCTTTATGATTGGATTACTGCATTTTGTTGATTCTTATTTTGTAGTTGGCTTTGTTCCTTTGATAACTGTGTAAGTTTAAAAAGCTAAAGCTCTAATCTGTTCTTAGGAACAATGATGAGTACATATATGTAAACTAAAAAAGAAGTGCAGTATACTGAATAAATGTATTTACATGCAATATAATGTATATATGTGCAGTCAAACTGTAATAATTCTTCCTAATAAAACTGAAAAAGGAAAAAAATCTTTTGGGTATATATCCAGAAGTGGAATTTCTGGGTCATATAGTAAGTCTATTTTTAAGTATCTGAGGAACTTCCATACTGTTTTCCATAGCGACTGTACCATTTTACATTCCCACCAACAGTGCACAAGGGTTCCGATTTCTCCACAGCTCTGCCAACACTTGTTATTTTCTATCTGTTTGTTTGTTTTTGTAGGAGCCATCTTAGTGGGTGTGGGATGGTAGCTCATTGTGGTTTTGATCTGCATCTGCTCAGTAAGCTTGAGCAACTTTTCATGTGCTTATTGGCCATACTTATATCTTCTTTGGAGAAATATCTATTCAAATCCTTTGTCCATTTTAATCAAAGTTAACATTTATTTAACCTCTATATACTATATCATATACATGAAGAGAGAGATACAGTGGATACAAGTGTTAACAAGGTATATTCAAATATTTATTGTATTCTTCCTGCAACTTTTCTCTAGGTTTGAAGATTTTCAAAAAAATATATCCAGGAAAAAAACAAAGTATATTTCCCTCTTCTGTAGATTCACTGAATTCGATTAATATTTATTGATTACCTAGGATGTATCAGGCTTTGAATGAGGGCAGAGAATATGGCAGACAAACCCTGCCCTCCGGGCACTAGCATACCAGGAACTCTACCTAATCACACTGCGTTTTAGCTTCCCAGCACTTAATACGGTTTCTTATGATCTTTTTTGTAAATTGAAGTATAGTTGATTTGCAACATTGTGTTTGTTACAGCAAAGTGCTTATTATACATACACACACATATATATTCTTTTTCGGATTATTTTCCGTTATAGGTTATTATAAGATATTGAATATAGTTCCCTGTGCTATACAGTAGGTCCTCATTGTTCATCTATTTTATATACAGTAGTATGTATGTGTTAATCTCAAATTTTTAACTTATCCCTCCTCCGACCCCTTTCGCCTTTGATAACCATAGGGAACCGTGTCCATCTTGTTCAATCTGTCTCCAGCGCTGGACACATAGTGGTGCTCCTTTGACCTTTGTTGAATAAATGAATGTGAGGTCCATGTGAGCAGAGACTGTCTGCCTCAGCGACCCATCAGGTGCCTAGAACAGGGCTGGGCACATAGTAAGTGCTCAAGAAGTATTTGTTGAATTAATGAATGTCAGTGCTGAAAGGGCAGGGATCTCCTGTTTTTCTCTAGCCCTAATTTCTGGAACAGCACCTAGCACATAGTAGGTGCTCAATACGCATTCGTTGAAAGAATGAATTCAAGACCCAAGAGGGCAGGGCAGAGACCTCTGTTTTTCTAGACTCTGCCTAGCTCCCAGCTCCACGCCTGGCACGTAGTAGGCGCCTGTGTGCTGAGCGCCTGCGCACAGAGCGTTTCTCCCCGGGCCTCCCTGACCCCGCCCTCGCCTGGGGGGCGGGGCCCGCCAGGGTCTCTCCGTGACGTCACAAAGCCCCTGCCATGCCTCTGGCCTTGGCCCTCCTGCTGCTCCTGGGGTTGAGCACCCGCCGAGGCTGGGGCTGCCTGCAGTGTGACAACTCGGTGCGGGAGGCCCTGAGGCAGCTGCGCTCCGCCCTCATCCCCAGCCGCTTCCATCTACAGCAGCTGCAGGCCCGCGCTCAGGCCCTGCTGCTGGGCATGGAGGGGCCTTTCTTCCGGGACTACGCGCTGAACGCCTTTGTCGGGAAAGTGGGTGCGTGCTAGGGTGGGGAGGGGGCCTGGCAGTGTGGGGAAAGGGACCAGTCAGGTAGCCCGAGACCGGGCGGGGAGATGATGCTTTGGGGACCACGCCCCCAAAAGGGGAAGGGTGGGGCCAGTCCCGGAGGGAGATAGAAGGGATCACGTGGCTCTTTGAGGGCCCGGCTGAAATTTCTTCCCTTCTCACCCCCAGGTTTAGAGCATCTGGACCTTGTGGCGTCCTTCCTCAAGAATCAAACAAACAGCTTAAAGGTTAATTCTCTGAAAGGTAGGAAGAGGGAAGGAATTTTTCCAGCCCCCTTCCCCCTCCTCCCTTTCCACCGGTCCAGCACGCCTTCTCTTGATATAAAAATTATATAAAAAACAGACACACATATAGCCTTTCCTGTGTGTCTGGCAGGGTTCTCGAAAAGTCTAGAATTGTTCATCAAGATGGGCGCTATTGTGATCTGCTCATTACAAGAGGGGGGTACTGAGGCTCAGAGAGGTTAGGCGACATGCCCAGAGTCACACAGCTAGGAATACCAGAGCTGAGGATTTGAATCTGGGACCTCCTGCTCAGAAGTTGTATTCCTAACCGCCACCCCACAGTATCTACCCTGGGGCACCATTCATCGGGTTAGGAGATCTGTGTGGTCCTTATGACAGTTTCCCAGCAGAGGCAGTAGAGGGACGCTGTTTTTTTTTTTTTTTGAAAAAGATAAGAAATGTGTGTGTGGTTTGTATAAAGCCATCCCTAAAAGAGGGATGGGAGCAGGTAGGATTCCAGTGTCCTAGGATAAAGGAACTGACAAAATGTATGCTTTTCCTGTCCATGCTTGTCAAATGGCTGTAGTTTTCAATTTCTTTTCCTTTCTTCCTCCCCTCCCCATCCTCTGCCAGCTTTTTTTAGGTTTATTTTGGGGAGGTACCGGGGATTGAACCCAGGACTTCATGCATGCTAAGCATACTCTCTACCACTGAGCTATACCCTCCCTTTTTAACACCAAGAGATGACGATGACTGAAGCCCATGATGGTAGCAGTGGAGGTGTTAAAACATGATTGGATTCCTGGATCTGTCTTGAATATTCACAACACGTTCACATGTGTGTCGACAGATTGCATGTGAGATGTAAGAAAAATAGAGCCAAAGCACCAAGGATTTTGGCCTGAGCGCCTAGAAACAGCATCTCCATCTATGAAGATGGAGAAGACTTTATCTTCATGGATGGAGTTGAAAGTGGGTTTGGAGGAGAATATTGAGGTTCAGTTTTGGATTCATTGAGTTTAAGATGCCTATTAGACATCCCGGTGAATACCTGAATGGATAGCTGGATATATGCATCTGGGCTTCCGTGAGGGGTCTAGGCTAGTGATATAGATGTAGGAGGCATCAGTGGCTACAGAGCAATGCTGTCCAAAGGAAACACATGAGGCACAAATAGTCACACAGTGTAATTTTAAATTTTCGAGTAGCCACATTTTTAAAAAGGTAAATAGAAGCAGGTGAAATTAATTTTAATAGATTTTATTTAGCCCAATACCTAAAAATATTACCATTTTATTATGCAGTCAGCATACAAATTATTGAGACATTTTACAGTTATTTACATTTTACAGTTCTTTTTTTTATATGATGTCTTTGAAATCCAGCATGTGTTTTTATACTAACAGCATATCTCAATTCAGACTAGCCCACTTCGAGGGCTCAATCTCTGTGTGTGGCTCATGGCTGCCATGTTGGACAGTGCACGTCCGAGGTAACACACAAAACCATAAGGCTGGATGAAATCGTGAAGGGGTCACTGTAGACAGACAATAGAAGAAAAGAAGAGAGCAGATCAGAGGAAAGGGGAGGAGAGGTGATTGAGGCCACCTATCTGCCACTTACCAGAGGAGGAACCTGAGGCTAAAGAAGGGTGGTTTAGCCTGGTGCCCTGGAATTGCTCAGAAGGTAGGTGCAGGACCTCCTAGGTCATAGATTTGCCTGGTGGAATTTCCCCGAGGAATAGCCAGTCTTGCTTAGTCCTAGTGAATGAAAAGGAATTTCTTCATCCCTTCTCTTTGAAGCTGCAGATGGGGCGGGCTTGCTGGGTGTCTCCACCCCCTGACAGAGACACACAAAGGTCTTTCTCTCCTCAGATGGGCCTCTGCTAGATGAACTGGTGGCTGTCAGGGAGAGGGTGATCAAGGAACTCAAGAAAGTTTTAAGATCGTATGAATTAAAAGGTGCGGCATCTCTCTCCACCAGGCCCCTTCCCTACTTCCCCATAATCAAATGACCCCCTTCTCCCACTGTTTCTTCCAGACTCCTCTCTCACCTCTCCTGTGACCCAGCCTTCTCTTCCTCTCCCCAAAATTCCCTTCTCTCCTTTCCCAGACTCACTCCTTCCTCCCACTCCTGGTCCCTTCCCATTGAATTCTCAAATTGCTGTCTCAGTGTAACTCACTTCTGTTCTTTTCTCTTGCAGCCTGCGATCCCAAAATTTGCCGTGAGTCTTGGGTTTATTGCCTGTTCCTCCCTTCACTACCCTCCTACCCCTTTTTACCTTATCTCCCTCAAATCAAGCCCTGCTCTCACACCTACTCCATCTGGTGTTGCCCCCAACCCAAAGCTATGGCACCAAGGAATTTTGGATTTTTGAGAGCTTATGAAAGGGATTGCAACCTGCAAAAAAGTATTTTGGGGGGATGTTAGCATAGGACAGACTACATCACCTTGAGAAGTAAACCCCCACAACTCTGGTTTTAAAAAAGAAAGGTTTTTGTCTCTGTGGCCAACATTCCATTGAGAGTTGAACAGCTCTTCCAAGTGGTGACTTAGGGATCCAGGCTGCACTGGCGTTGTGGCTGCTAAGCTAGCTTCAGAAGGGAGAGAGAATAGGGAATCCCACAGGGCCTTTTATGGGGAGGCCTGGAAGCACCTATCCCTCTGCCCACTTTCCATTGGCCAGAACTTGGTCACATGGATGTGACTTCCTGCAAAGGATTCTGGGAAGTGTAGTCTTCCTGTGCAACAGGAAGAGAGGGAGACAGATAGTGAGCATGTGGCCAGTCTGTGCTACAGGGGGTTGCAAAATAGAACAAAATAGGAAAATTCTTTTGGTAGACACTTAATGTAAAATTAGTTTCATTTAATTAATTATATGCCTACCTGGATCCACTGGATAACTGCATTCAACTCTTCAATGATTATGTACACATTTTTTCTTTCTTTTTCTTTTTTGTTTCTGTTTTTATACAAATTATTTTTATTGTGAATCATCAGTGCCTTTTGCTCTGCTTGCTCTGCTGTACCTGGGACCTCCAAATTTAGGACGGCCAAGGGACCCCATCTCCTCTTTCCTCTGCTGCCTTCCTGCCCCTTGCCACTCCTCTTGATATCTGTCCTCATCCCACTTCTCCCTTGCCTCTGGTCCAGGCTTGCTGAAAGAAGAGGTCTTGGATTGTTTACATTGCCAGAAGACCAGTCCGAAATGTATCAAAGAAAAGTACTGTTTTGGTAAGCTCCTGGGGTGGGGGAAGACATGGGACAGGTGCATGAGAGTTGAAGACAGCCACACCCCAGGGGACATGGCTTTCAATTTCTCCTACACGCAGCCTTGAACCCTGCCCTTTCCTCTTGATCACAGTGTGGTCCAGAAGTTACTTCCACATTCTAAAATATGTAAGTCTTCTTATGGGGAGACTCCTCTGTAACTCTGCAATGCCTCCAAGGCCAGAATGGCAAGTGCTAGAAAAACATTTTTTGTTTGCTTGTTTTGGGTTTTTTTTATTGAGGGGAGGAGATAATCATGTTTACTTATTTATTATTATTATTTTATTTAACGGAGGTACTGGGGATCAAACCCATGACCTCATGCATGCGAAAGCATGCACTCTACCACTGAGCTATACCCTCCACACCTAGAAAAACATTTTAGTTTTTCTGGGGAGTCTGGAAGGATGTGCTGAATTTAGTCATTCATTCATTCAGAGATTTTTAAAATATATATCCTAATAGTACAGTGAACCCCTATATATTCATCAAGACTGAATTGTCACCCTGGACCTTTTACTTGCTGTTCCTCTCTCTGTCACACTGTTCCTCTCCTTTCCTTACTTCAATAAAGTCTCAAAGTTCCCCTCATCTGAGAAGACTCCCCAGTCACACTCTCTAAAGTATCATTTTCTATCTAATTTTTTTGACAATGAACATACCTCCACATTTGCTTCATTTATTTTGTTTATATCTGGAATATTTTAAAAGAAATCAGGCACCATGAGATTTTACCCAGACAGTGTGTTCCTCTAAAAGAGACATTTCCTATAGAAACACAATGCCGTTCCCAACACACCTAACAGCATCTTCCCATATCAAATGATTCCAAGTCCCTTTTCCAGCTCCCCTCATTTCCCCCAGAATATCTTCACAGTTGATTTCATTCAAACCAGGATCCAATGAAAGGACTTATCATATCATTCAATTTTTAGTTTTTTAAACTTTTTTTTAAATCTAGAAGAGTTTCTCTTATCAGTTCCCCCCACCTCGACTTTGACTAGTTGAAAAAAAGAGAGTTGTCTGTTTGCTCTCTTGGGATGCTAACTACAATAAATATTTTGAGCACCATATAATGCTCCAAACTGAAGATCAGCAGAATGGAAGACAAATATCTCATAAAGAGAGCCCACATTTTAATGGGGGTGAAGGGTTAGACTAGGGTTTCTCAACCTTGACACTGGTGACATTTGGGGCAGGATCACTTTTTGTTCTGAGGCTGTCCTATGCGTTGTAGATGTTCAGAAGCAGCCCTAGCCTCTACCCACTCCGTGCCTGTTACTACTGCCCCCACCAAAGTTGTGACAACCACTTCCAGCCTCCAGACGCTCCCAAATGTCCCCTGGTGGACAAAATCATCCCCAGCTGAGAAGCACTCTTAGGTGATGATTACATGAGCAAATAAATGCACTCATTCTAGACAGCAGTTGTACTCTACTGAAAACTAAGCAGAGCAATGTGATAGAAAGGGCCTGGAAGGACAGGCAGTAGTACTTTGGAGAGAGCAGGTGGGCGGGACCTCTCTGAAGAAGTGATATGTGATCTAAAGGAAGTGAGGGGGTGAGGAACTGTGTGAATGCCAGAGGAAAGTGCAGGTGCAAAGATCCAACATTGTTCAGTAACAAGAGGGAAACTAGTGGGATCAGAGCCGAGTGAATGAAGGGGAGGGTAGTAGGGTGACTACATGGTGACCAGATCATGCAGGTCTGGTGGACCACGATGAGGACTTGGGCTTTTAATCTGAATGAAACAAGAGCCACAGGAAGACTGTGAGGGGAAGAGGGACATGAGCATACTTATGTGTTAGTAGCGCCCTCTAGTGGCCAGTTGGGGAACTGTAGGAGAAGCAGGATAACCCCTGAGAGAAGCGATGATGAGAACTGGACCAAGTCGGTAGCCCAAGAGGTGGATCAGATTCTGGATACATTTTGAAGGTCAAGCCAAGAGGCTTTGCTGACAGAATGAAAGACTTGGGGGAGGGAGCAAATGGAAGAGGCAGAAGGGGACTCCCAAGGCCACCCTCAGGGTCACCAGCTAAGATGCAGCCGGAGATTGTCAGCATTTTTCACCCCACCTCCCATGTTCTTGGGTAGTCAAACTACCTAGTCTTCCCCCCTACCCCGTCCCCCTCCCTATCCAATGAGATGTATTTGGCGCTGGGCTCTCTGCTGTCACCCTTATGCACTATGTAGACTGCTCCGTGAGGGCGGGGATGTTTGCCCCAGCAGTATCCCGAGCGCCTGAACAGGTGGGACACAGAATTTGAGAAATGGATGAGTGGAACGTCATACCCTAGGAGGGCAGGGGCCAAGTAGGGAGAAGGAAGAGAGAGGCCCGACAGTGGCCGGGTTGCCGAGTGATCAGGTGGATGTGGGTGCAAGGTCAAGGAAGGGTGATGACTTGGAGGTCGGGGCTGTCTCCGCCCCCATTCCCCTCCCCACGCCTACCCTAGTCGACGGGCAGCCCCGCGTGGACCTGCAGTACCAGAAGAAGGGTGGATACCCGCAGAATCAGGCCCTGTTTGGCATCATTATTTCCGTGTGTCTGGCTGTCTTGGCCTTTGGGGTCATCGTGGCTGCGTGAGTCATCCCCATCCTCTCCTGAGTTCCCCCAAAGCCCCACTGGGCCCCTCAAAAATGGCATTTCCCTGGATCTGTCACTGTGTCATTTGGGAATCTCTTCTCTAGTCGCTTTCTGCCTCTGTCACTGTCTCCTTCCGTCTCTCTATTATTATTTCTCCCTTTTTTCTGTTTCTCCTTGCCTCTCACTATCTCTTTCCTCTCTCTCATCTCGATCATTCTGTCCGTCTCTCTTTCTCTCTCCTTCCTCCCATCCGTGGACCCCATTACGTCTTCCCTGAGTCCTCATCGCTTTTGCCTTTGTGGGTCTCCTCCTCCATTAAAAAAATACTAAAGATGATATTTCATATATGAAGACAGATATAATCCAATCTGGATTCATTACTATAGATCCATCCTCCTCCTCCTCCTAGGTTTAGTAATTGATTTTCTTCAAAGTATTTAAGATGCAAACGTCTCCAGGGGCCCCAAGCACTGAGCCCATGGTGCCAAGGGAAGAAGGCACCCTCACCCTCCTCTCTCTACTTCTGAATGCTCCTCTCTGCCTCTCTCTGCTGGTCCCACGTTCAGCCCCTCTCACCACCCCCCTCCTCTTCCCTCTGGCTCCATTTCTGTCTCTCTCGGCCTCCTCCATCTGCCCCTCCTTTCCCTGAAGTCTCCATTTCTTCATATTCAAATTGGGAGACTCCCAGTACCTTCTACTCAGGAGTGGTGGTGAGCTTTAATTCAGCACTTAGCACAATGAACAGCTCTCCCTCTCTGAAACTCCCTATCCGAGACTCTCCCACTGCGCTTTCTCCTCCCCTGCCCGGTCCCGGTCCCAATTCTGCCACCTCCCCCTTCCCCTCCCCCGCCCCCCCCCACCATGGTGAATCTGTGTCTTGCAGTCTCTCTGTATCTGTCTCTGAATCTGTCTCTCCCCATCTCTGGGTCTCTGTGTCTGACTCCCATTCCTCCCACCCCAATAGACTCTCCCTAGCCGTCAGCCCCTCCCTATTTCTTTAAATCTCCCCCTGCCCCATGACTACCTTCTTTCTTTTTCTCTCTCTAGTGCCCTGCCACACGGTTCTCTCTCTTTATCTCTATCTTAACCTGGTCTTTCTGTCTCCCTCTGTCTTCCCCTCTCCCATCTCTGGATTTCCCTTTTCGTTCTGAATTCCATTTCTCTCTCTCTCTCAGCCTCTTGTCCGAGGTCTGTCTCCCCTCTTGGTCTCTCTAGTGCAGGGCTCTCTCCCTGCTCTCTCCCCACTGTCTCCCTGTGTATCAGTTTCCTCTTGCTACTGTAACAAATGGCCACAAAAATTTACTCTGTCAGAATTATGGAGGCCAGAAGTCCAAAATTCAAGGGTTGGCAGGGTGGGTTCCTTCTGGTGGTTCTGAGAGAGTCTGTCCCTTCCATCTGTCTCCTACCTTCTGTTGGCCACTGGCATCCTTGGCATCCTGGGATCATTACCTCCTGCCAATCTCTGCCTCTCTCTTCATGTGGCTTTTTCCTTGGCATCTGTGTCCCAAACCTCCCTGTCCTTTCTCCTGTAAGGACGCCAGTCTTTCAATGTAACAGCCAGCCTAAATCCAGAATAATCTCCTTTTACCTCAATATAATTACATATGCAAAGACCCTATTTGCAAATATGGTCACATTCACAGGTACTGAGGATTAGGACTTGGCTATGTCGTGGGGGGGAGCGCAGTTCAACCCAGTACACCTGCTTCACTCTTTTCCTCCTGTTTCTACCAGTCTTTCCCTTCTCTTTGAGTCTCTCTCCCTGTGTTTGTGTCTCTCAGAGTCTCCTCCTGTCTTTTTCCATTCTGTTTCCACGTTTTATACCCTCACTCCCAGTCCCAAACTCCCAGTCCCAACTTTTCTCTCCTCCCTCCTTACATACCAACACTGATTGGCTGAGAACCTTGGAAATCTGCCCAGAGACCCATGATGTCACTGGCTGAGCCAACTAAGGCCAGTGATTGGAGGGGAGGTTTTGGATGGTCGGTTGACCTGGATGGGCCTGAAGTTCTTTTTCTAACCTCCAAGCTTTTTCTCTCTGACCAGGGCCATTACCTACAGGCAAAACCGAAAACTCCTGCTGCGGTAGGGCGATGGTTTGGGGGTTTGTAAAGGGAAAGGAAAATAAGTTTAATAAAGTCTGTGACAAATTCCTCAATGTCTCCATCAGTTTCTGGAAGACCCTGTCCCAGTTGGTGTCCAGCTCCATAGATACTGTCATCCCCGAGTCAGAAGGGTGTGCACGTGAAGATCGGCTTCTGATTGGCCTAGAGCTTGCCATCCATCGCCAAGATACTAGTTTTAGTACATGCGCAGTAGAGCGCGCTTTGGCTGGGTTGGTTTTTGAAGAGACGAAAGAGGCCCCAACCTCTGAAATAGACCCGTCCCCAATCGAAAGGATTCTGGAAATGTTTCCGGCCTCTCCTGATGCAGGCTACTTCCCTGAAGGCCACAGACGCTGGTTGCCTTGGCGACGCTTCTTCTGGCCCGCTTGACGTCGCCATCACCAGTGGGCTGGCCAGAGCCTGGGGTACTGCAGATACGTGGGAGATGCTCATTTCTTAAGCTGGTGGACAGATCGAAGTCCGTTCCTGGAAAGGCTTTAGCTTGGGGGTCTCAAGCTGGTGGCCCCCAAATACTTTTTTTGGGGTAGTAGAGTAGTTTTGGTTTTTTAAATGTCTTCATGCTACAGGTCCAGCCACTCCCTAGCTTCCTGGGAATTTCCTGGGAGCAATGCACAATAAACAGGTAATTAAATTGTGCATAAATTATAGTCTGATGGGAGCTCCTGGAGAGCACAGTCTGGAGTGGGAGAGACAGGCGGTTACCAAATAATAGCAATGCAGCAATTATTATACTGTCAACGCTGGGATACTGGGATGTTCCTGTGGGAACCCAGGGGAGGGAGTTGCCAACTCTGGCTAGGCTGAGTGGGAATAGAAGAAAGATTCCCACCAGAATGGCTGAAAAAGCTTGCTCTGGCAAGATAAGTAGTTTTCCAAAAGAAGTAGAAGAGAAAGGACATTTCGGACAGAGGGAACAGCAAATACAAACGTCAAGAGGTGGGAACTATTAATTTGATGTAGATGGTTTTTTCCATGTCATTCAGTTCTAAAGACATTACTTATGTCAGTCTATTTAAATCTCACAACCCAACGAAGAGGTTATTTGTTATTTCCCCATGTACAGTGAGAATACAGAGAAGTTAGTAACTTTCAGTTTCACATACGAACAAGTGGGATTGACTGTTATGTTATACAGCCCTCGTTACACGGTCCTGGAGTAATTGAGGACTTACTACCTGCAAAGCACTGTACTGATTGACGTGTATACAGCATCAAATTTAAGCCTACTCCAGGCTTTAGGAGATGGTTGTATCAATCAGAATAGGCTAGTTATGCTACAGCAACAAACACCCTCCCTATAGCTCAGTGGCTTACAGCAGTGAAGCTTTACTTCTCATTCGTGGGACAGGGCAGCTGAGGGTCTGTTCCATGCCACCTTGATTCCAAAGCCCCGGCTGACGGAGTAGCTTCTGTTTAGGGGGCATTCCCAGTCATCATGACACAAAGAAAAGAGACAGGAGTAAACCTGTGGGTGGATGCCGAAGGAAATTGAATAATTAAGTGATAGAGACTCTATTCATTCACCCTAAGTTTAGATGGGATCTTGAAGACTTGCTATGGCAGGAGAAATTTGGGTTAGATGGGTTAAGTGGACTATGATGTTGCTTTCGGTGGAGGGCAGTGAAAAGACTAGTTAAAATGGGAATATTCAAGGTGCCAGCACAACCATACATTTCCCAAATACCATGTTTCATCCAGCTACAAAGCAGCTGTTTATTTACACCATTCCTTCCTCCGCCCCTTTCTATTCCTGGACTCCATTTCCCAGCATTCTCCAGCCCTCAGAACCCTTAGGCCAGGAGGATAGTGAGCCGCAAGGGTTTCTGGGAAATGGAGTCCAGCTGAGAAGCTGTGTTTATAGTACCAAGACTTCAAGTTCCGAGACAGCGACCGCGCAGGCGCTTTCCGGGGCCCGAAGGAGGGAGGGAAGGCCTGGCCGCCCTGCGCAAGCCGCGGGGGCGCACAGGTGAGTTCCGACCCGGCGAACCTGAGAGGGAGAAGGTGGGTGTGGGCCGGCGCAGGCAGGCAGGCAGGCAGGCCCGCAAGGGGCGGGCCCGAGTCTGCCTGGGTGGGAGGGGAAGGGCGCTGTTGGCGGCGCCCTGCCCCCTCTTGTCACCCGCAAGGAGGCCCAGAGGCCCCCTGCCATCGACTCAGATGACCTCGGCGCCCAGGAATTAGGCGCCTGCTGTTTTCCAGGAGTCTAGCCGAGCGCGGGTCTTCTATGATTTCCCAGAAGGAGCACTTTAGGGCTTCTCTTTGGCGTATTCAAATTGCCAACATCACTACTCTCGCACTTTGGGGTCATTATTAAATAAAATAAGGGTTCCTTGAACACAAGCACTGTGATACCTCGGTAGTCACTCTGATAACCAAGAATAGCTACCACGTGACTAACGGGCAGGAGACGCTGAACAAAGAGATGATTCACGTCCTGGGTGATACAGAGCAGGACAGGGAGAGATTTCATCAAGCTACCCAGAATGGCGCGTGATTTAAAACTTATGAATTGTTTACTTCTGGAACTTTCCATTCAATGTTTTTGGATTTCACTTTACTGAAGCCACAGAAAGTGAAGCCGCGGATAAAGGGGCATTACTGTAATAAGTGACTTATGAAGAGATAGTTAAGACTCTATAAGACCCTGTTCCTGAAAATTTCACCCGCTGGTTTCAGCCAGGCTCCCTCCAGAGGCTCTAGGGGAGAACCCGTTTCCTTGGCTTTTCCAGCTTCTAGAAGCTGCCTGCATTCCTTAAGCATGGCCGCTTCCTCCAGCTTCAAAGCCAGGGGCGTAGTGCCTTGTTTCTCTGACTCTCCTGCGATTTACTTCTGTTAACGTGGTGTTCTCCTCCAGATCTGATCTCCCGCAGTCTGGCTTTTATCAGGCACTTGTGATCGCTTTAGAGTCACCCAGATAATCCATCATCATCCTCATCCCTCAAGATGCTTAACTTAATCACATTACAATTCATCCCAGGAATATCTTTTGGGACCTGGTCTCTGTCCAGACCTGTCTCCCCCACAGGCAGGAAGTCCCTGGAGGGCAGAGCCACATCTCACTCATCTCTCCGCCGGCAGAACCGAATGGAGCCCGTCACTCATACGGGGCTCAGAGTGGGTTTGATGAATGAATGGGGGTGACCAAAGTCTAAGCACCAACTTCTCTTTGTAAAGAATTCTTCAACTTTATTCCAGCTGCTGGAATCTTTCTTTAAACAACACCTTAAGCAGGAGTCCAGGATCCTTAAGCAGGATTTGTAGGACAGATAAAAACAAAGCTCTGCAAAATGTGGTCCAGCCACATGGTGGAATATTATTCAGCCATAAAAAGGAGTCAAGCTCTGATACATGCTGTAACTCCGGTGAACCTCGAACTCATTGTGCTAAGGAAAAAACCCAGACACAAAGGATCACATATTGTGTGGTTCCACTGATATGAAATGTCCAGAATAGGCACCTCTATTAAGACAGAGAGATTAGTGGTTACCCGGGGCTGGACTGGGGGAAGGGAGACTCAGGGGTAATTGATTAAAGGTATAAGGTTTCCTTTTAGGGTGTTGATAAAAAAGTTCTGGTGGTACAACATTGTGAATCTACTCAACGCCACTGAATTGTATACATTAAAATGGTTAAAATGTTGTCTTTTATGTGTATTTTTATCACAGTTTTAAAAGTATAAGCAAAAAAGGAGGGGCTGGCTCTGCAGCCAGGCCTCTAGGTTCAAATCTCACTCTGACACTTGATGTCTCTGTGACCTTGAGCAAGGCCTTGACCTCTTGGGCTTTGATTTTCTCACCTGAGGATAACTTAACCTGGTTACTTCTCTGAGAGCTGTGGTGCACGTGTGATGAGCTGAGCCTCCTGATTGCTAGTGGGGGTTGTTACAGATCGGGGGTCTCCGGCCGCCTGCCCTGAGACTTTGCTTTGGCTCTTAGGAGACAAGAGCCCCTTCTGCCCTGAGGCATCTTTGGCAAAGTGTTTGTCTATCTGAGCCAGAGCTGACCCCTTCTCTCTCCAGCCTCCTCCTCTACATCTGTGGACTCAAGCCTGGTCCTTTCTTCTGCAGGTGCATGCCTGGGACCCAACAATGGCCATCAGGAGCCTGATGGGCAAAGGCCAGGTGAGTCTGGGCTCCCTTCTCCCTGAGATGACTCTGTGGACCCAAGAGGACTATCCCCGTCTCTGCCTATGGTGCCGATATTGAGAAAGAGGCTATTATTGGAGGAGCTCTAGGACTGGGAGGTTTGGGGTGACAAGGGCATGATGCTCTGAGCTGGACTTGATGACACAAATGTCTCTAAATCAATCACCTAACATTCAACATCCTTTTGGTTACCAGGTTAAGTGGGCAGTGGATGGTTTTGCTTTACCCCTGAACCTTATCCTCAGAGTTCAGAGTGGGGATTGGGATCAGACTTGGGGTCTGGGATGGAGTGAGACTTATGAATAGCTCTTGCACACAACAGCTTGGTAGCTTTTTTAAAAAGAGTTTCTAAGGATGGTCATGGACATGTTCGTAGGTTACACAGTGCACAAGGGTGTCTCATCTCGGTGGTATGATTTGTATCTTCTACTTCAGACATTGGTATATTTTTTCTTTTTTTTAAGTGAAATATAGTTGATTTATAATGTTGTGTTAGTTTTTGGTGTCCAGCATAGTGATTTCAGTTACACCTATGTATGTTCTTTTTCATAATAGGTTATTATAAGATATTGAATACAGTTCCCTGTGCTATACAGTAGGACCTTGTTGTCTAAGCATATTTCTTATAGCAATTGTCACGCAGTAGACTGTCACATGCTAAAATAGTCATATGACTGAAAGGTGAGTGTGGGGCTAATGGCTTGCCCTAGACTTTTTACATTCCTGCAGTCGGTTTGATTCAGTCGCCCCAAATCTGTGGAGTCAGAATGTTCCAGCCCAGGGAGCAAGTGGTAGGCTCTTGACCCCGACCTCTCCCGCCCCCAGAAGGACAGGCCCCTCCGTGATGTAAAATTGCCCTTGCAGGAATCAGTGACCTTCAGAGACGTGGCCGTGGACTTCACCCTGGAGGAGTGGGGCCAGCTGGGACCTGGCCAGAGGGAGCTGTATCGGGATGTGATGCTGGAGAACTACCAGAACCTTCTCTCGCTGGGTGAGGCCCTGCCCTCTGCCCTCCCAGGAAGAGGCATGATGCCCCCTTCACACTCATCTCCTTTGTGCCCACCTCCTGCTTCACTGTGGGTGTTCACTGGGGTCCTCTCTGCTTCTCTCACCAGCTCCTCTTGGCTGGCCTCTGTCCATCTGTCTGTCTTCTGGCTTCTCCCAGGGTCCCAGCATCCCTGAAGGCCCAAGTCCTCTTCTTGTCCCACAGAATCTTCAGCCTGTGCTCCAGCCCTCTTCTCGGGCTTCCCTCTCCACATGGGGTGACCTCAGGCTCCAGGCTGGGATGCCCATTCTGGAATCTTCAGCTCTCGGCGCTCCCCAAAGGTCCTCCAGTCAACAGATTCTATCTTGGAATTTTCTCCCCAAAACCCATGAATGCTGTTCCCCAAACATGTCTCCTGAGTCCGACCCTTGACCACCAGCTGCTTCCTGTTCCCCTGCAAACCCCGCTGGCTGCTACACTCACCTTGAGCTCAGTGTCTCCACGCCCACCTGCTTCTCTTCCTCTGGGTCCCCATCTCTGGTTGGCCCCACAGCCGCCAGTCTCCAGATCAGACCCCAGGACGTCATCCTCACCCTCTCCTTCTGCAGCCCCAGCCCCCCTGCCCCTTGACTCTCTCTGCCAGATGCAACCCTTCCTCTCTATCCCCACAGACCAGCCCTCAGCTCAGGCCTCGTCGTCTCCCCAGGACCCCGCCCCAGCCTCCTCTCTGGTCTGTCTTTCCAGACTCCATCCTCAGCCCTTCTCGCTCACAGTTTTGCTGGACAAACTCATCAAAAACTGAACTTAAGCTTCTGTGTCTTGGGGGGAGGGTATAGTTCAGGGGTAGAATGCACGAGGTCCTGGGTTCAATCCCCAGTACCTCCATTAAAAAAAAAACATGAGTTTTGCATTGACCATAAGATCTTCTAATCATTAGGTGCCCAATGCATGCATCTCACCTGCCAACTCAGGGCCTGGGGTCCAGCCTGGAGGCCTCCCTGTGACCGTGGCACCTGTGGCTAAGTCTTATATCTTTTCCAGGGGCAGGGCTTCCTGGGTCCAAACCCGATGTGATCTCCCGTCTCGAGCGAGGGGAAGAGCCCAGGATGGAAGCCAGAGAAGACTGGCGAGTTACCTGTTCAGGTGGGTGAGTCTGTCCAGCAGGTGTGAGCAGTCTTACTACCCCATCGGTTATGATCAGTGATGGTCATTCAAGAGGGAGGCAGCATAACACATGGGCCATCATTGTGGGAGTGGGGTTCAAATCCCAGCTCCACCTCTTCCTGGCTCTTTGAGCTTTGGGCAAGGCATTTAGCCCCTCTGGGCCTCAATTTCCTCATCTGCAAAATGGAGTCAACAACAGTACCAGGGGTTAGAGGAAGAAATGAATTAATACACACCTGGCACACAGGATGTCCTGGTCAGAATAGGCTACGGTGGCGGGGGGAGGGTAATAGCTCAGTGGTAAAGCGTATGCTCAGTACCTCCATTAAAAAAAAAATAGATCTCCCAACCTCCAGTCTTATGCCCTCCAGTTCAGTCTCTTTCACAACCCCAGAAGGGTCTTCCTACACTGAGAGTTGATCCCACACCTCACCTGCTCACAGCCCTCTGGTGGTTCCCCTGTGCCCGGAGACAAAGACCTAGCCCCACACCTGGCATTCGAGGCCCTGTGTGGTCCAGCCTGCTCTGTCCCTGGCCTCATCTCTCATCACCATCCGCCCATGGTCATAGCCCATGCCCTGACCTCACTGAAGCACCTGTTCCCTACATGAACGTTAATGTGTGTTCTCACCTTTGGGCCTTTGCACATGCTGTTCCCTCTGCCTGGAACACCCTTCCCTGCTTTGTCTGCCTAGTAAGCACCTCCATATTTCTCAAGACAAAGGCTACAGGTTACCTCCTCCTCCAGGAAGCCTTCCCTGACTTCCAGGCTGAGTGATCTGCCCTTTCTCAGTGTTTTCACAGCTCCTTGCTTGAGTTGCTGTTACTGCACATGTTCACATGACAGTTAAGAGTATAGGCTCTGGACCCAGCCTCTCTGAGTTTAGATCCCAGCTCTGCCACTGGCAGGCTCTGTGATTATGGGTATGTGACTTAACCACAGTGCTTATCTGTAAAATGGAGACACTAGTACCCATTTAATTGAATTTCTTTTGGGGACTAAATTAGTCAATAGCTAGAAGAAGCTTAGAACAGTGCCTGGCACATAGTAAGCATTTAATAAGTGTTACCTATTGCAATAATAATAGTTATTATTCTATAACTGTTATTGTAATTACCTGGTGTATTAGTCAGGACTCTTTTGCGTGTAAAGAACCAAAGTGACTTAAGCAAAATTAGACTTTTGTTTGTTTTATTTTATTATTATTATTATTTTATTTGGGGGTTAATTAGGTTTATTTATTTATTTTTAATGGAAGTACTGGGGATTGAACCCAGGACTTCACATATGCTAAGCACACACTCTACCATTGAGCTATACCCTCCCCACCTAGACTTTTTTTGACCCATATAAATGAGAAGTGTTGCTTTAGGCGTAAATGGATCTAAGACTCTAAATGGTGTTTTCAGGGCTCACTTTCTCTCTCCTTCCCTCCCTCCTCTAACGTGTTGATTCTGTCTGTATCTAGCTTCAGTCTATGTTCAGGCCTTTCTGAGTGGCAGTCAATTTGGCTGCCCATAGTCTCAAATTTATATTCTGCCTAGCAATACCATATATTAATCTCAAGGAAGATTCTGATTGGCTCTATTTGGGGATGGGATATTCTGATTGGCCAGCCAGGGTTTCATGCCCACTTCAGAGGTGGGAAGTGGGGGAGACTATAATTAACAGCGCCACCAAGACTGCCTGGGAAGGGGAGTAGTGGTTCTTCAAAGGCGGGAATGCTATAGAGAGATGGAGGATATGTCCAAAATGTCTGAGTTCAAGCCTACCCCTCCCCTCTCTGAGGACAAGGGTCAAATGTCTTCTTTAGCAGAGTCACCCACCCTCAAGCACTGTGTTTGGCACATAACAATTATACAATTAATGGGTGTCCCATGAACAAATCTACTAACATCAAAAAATTAGTCGCCTTCCACAAATTCCAGAGGTTTTGCTTCCTCATAATCTCCTTGGTACACCGTCCTGTCTCCAGATTGCAAGATTGTGCTGCTAAAACCTCATACATGTAATATTTATTGATGTCTTTTGATCAAGTAAAAGTTATACATGTTCATCATAGAAACTTTGAAAATCTAAACAAGAATAAAGCAGTATATGAAAATCCTCCCCATAATCCTGTTTATCTCTCAGAAAATTCATTTTTAACATTTTAATGTAGTTCCTCCGACATATTTTACCCAATATCTTTACTGTAGTTTTTTAAAGTTTTTAAATTTTTTTTATTTTTCCCCTTAACGGAGGCACTGGGGATTGAACTCAGCACCTCGAGCATGCCAAGCACATGCTCTACCACTGAGCTATACCCCACCACTCTTCTTACTGTATTTTTCAATTACAAAATTAATTCATAACAACATGGATAAACCTTGAAGACATTATATTAAGTTAAATAAGCCAGACACAAAAGGACAAATATTGTATGATTCCACTTATATGAGATACTTAGAATAGGCAAATTCTTAGAGACAAAGTAGAATGGAGGTTTCCGGGGCTGGGGAAGGAGAATGGGGAGTTATTGTTCAATGCGCATAGAGTTTCAGTTTGGGAAGATGGAGAGTTCTGGAAAAGGGTAGTGGTGATCATTGCACAACAATGTGAATGTACTTAAGCAACTGAACTGAACACTTAAAAATGGTTTAAATGGTACATTTTATTTTATACAGATTTTACCACAATAAAAAATTAATGAATTCAAAAACCTCCGTCTCACCACACATATGCACATGCAGGTGCACACACACATAAATATAGAAGAAATCTCTAGAAGGATTCACAAACAATTAGAAACAGTATAGGAAAAAGGGAAGGAAGAATATTTACTTTTCACTGCAATTACCTAATAAAAAAACTACTTTTAATATACAAAATGAATCTGACATTTCACTATGTAATGTAGAAAGTAAAATTTCCTTAAAATCTTAATTTCAGTTTTATTGAGATGTAATTCAGCATTTAAAGTGTACACTTCAGTGTTTTTTAGTCTATTCACTGAATGGTGCATCTATTACTACAATCAATTCTAAAACATTTTTATTGCTCCCAGAAGGAATCCTGCACCCCTCAGCCATCACTCCCTGTGCCTCCATCTTCCCAGCTTTAGGCAACCATGAATCTACCTTCTGTCTCTATAGATTTGACTATTCTGGACATTTCCTGTAAACAAAATTATACAGTATGTTGTCCTTTATGACTGGCTTCTTTCACTCAGCATGTTTGCAAGGTTCATCTATGTTGTAGCAGGTATCAATGCTTCATTCCTTTTCTTGGCTGAATAATATTCCACTGTATGGATATACCACCTTTTATTTATTCATTAGTTGATGGATATTTGAGTTACTTTCTCTTTTTTCTTTTCCTTTTCTTTTCTGTTTTCTGTATTTGTATTTTATTTTATTTTTTTGTCTTTTTTTTTACTTTCTCTTTTTGGCTATTATGAATAATACTTCTATGAACATTCAAGTATACATTTTTGTATGAATGTCTATGTTTTCATTTCTCCTGTGTGTGCACCTCAGAGTGGAATTGCTGGGCAAAGTAGTGCTGGAATGTTTTCTAACATGGTCGCACCGTTTTACATTCCCCCTAGTATTGTATGAGGGTCCTAACTTTTCTACATCCTCACTAGACTTGTTACTTTCTGTCCTGTTGGTTATTTATCCTCCATAGTGGGTGGGATGTGATCTCTCCTTGTGGGTTTGTTTTGGGGGTTTTTTGGCAGAAGGAGGTAATTAGTTTTATTCATTTTTAGAGAAGGTACAGGGTCTGAACCCAGGACCTCATGCTTGCTAAGCATGTGCTCTACCACTTGAGCTATACCCTCCCCACTCCTCTTGTGGTTTGGATTTGCATTTCCTTGCTTCCTAATGATATTGAGCATCTTTTCATGTGCTTATTGATAATTTGTGTGTCTTTGAAGAAATGGCTGTTAAGATCCTTTGCCCATTTTCAGTAGGTTATTTGTCTTTTTATTATTGAGTCATAATCGTTCTTATCAGTCCCTTATAAGATGTATAATTTACAAAATCTTTCTTGCGTTCTGTGGGTTGGTTGCCTTTTCCTTTTCTTGGTAGTGTCTTTGAAGCACAAAGATTTTTAACTTTGATGATGTCCAATTTATCTATTTTTTTCTTTTCTTGCTTGTTCCTTTAAGGTCATATTGGAGAAACTATTGCCTAATCCAGTGACACTGGGATTATGTCCAGAATCCCACATAGCATTTAGTTGCCGTGTCTCTGTTTGGGGCAATCCCACAACCATCTGCTGGTTTGGTGATTTTTTTCTGGAAAGATTTGCATGACTCAGCCACAGTGGCACTCTAAGATTTCTTATAGGAAAGGATATTTTTTGTTGGGATTTTTTTTGGGGGGGGTTCATGGGGGTAGGTAATGAGGTTTGTTTATTTTTTTAATGGAGGTACTAGAGATTGAACCCAGGACCTTGTGCGTGCTAAGCACATGCTCTACCACTGAGCTATACGCCTGACCCCTCAACAAAGGATATAATACAGGAACATCAGGAACAAATCTATACATAGGTGAAGGCTAGAGAGGTCATGTGCAGGCTTCTAAGTCCTCTTCTCTCTACGGGGGTCACGTGGATGTATTTTTCTGTAACAGCCTGAACTGTGGAGACACGTGTGAGATGTCTTCACCCAAGAAAGCCCACTTGAGTCCAGAGTTCCTGAAGGGAGCTGGTCACATATGCATATACCTACTACATGGCCAGCCATGGTGAGGACCCCAAACCAGGCACCAGATGCACATCATGAACCTTCCACTTACTGTAAACAGTGCTGACAGCCTAGTACATCTTGACTCATGGTCCCAAGCTCACAAAAAAAGATTATTAGCCAGTAACTATGTAAACGTTCCTTAAGTCCAGGGCTCAGAGCTTGGCCAAGGGTCATTGCCATGGTTACAGTGATAAACAAAAACCGAGTAAAATGGACCTTCTTTGTTAACTCTTTCTCTGCACATGCCCACTAACTGTACTGTGAGAATGTCTCTGTCATGCTTATTTGCCAATACTGGATATTTTTAATATTTTCCAATCAAAAAAGTGTCAAATAGCATCTTGAGTAATTTGATTTTTTAACATTTTTTTATTGAGTTGTACTCATTTTACAATGTTGTGTCAAATTCCAGTGTAGAGTACAATTTTTCAGTTATACATGAACATACATATATTCATTGTCACATTTTTTTCGCTGTGAACTACCACAAGATCTTGTATATATTTTCCTGTGCTATACAATATAATCTTGTTTATCTATTCTAAATTTTGAAATCCATCTGTCCCTTCCCACCCCCCTGAGTACTTTGATGCTTTTAGACAATTATTGATGTTGAGCATCTTTTCACATATTTATCAGCCCCTTGTTTTCCTTCTGTAAAATGTCTGTTCACATTCCTGCTTCACTATTTCATTGGATGGTGTCTCTTTTCCCTGTTGATCTGTGAAAACATATTATATATTGTGGCTCAGAAACCACCGTGCACATAAAATGCCTTGCAACTCGGTTTTCTTCGTGTTTAGAATATACCAAGGCCATCCTTCTGTGTCAGAACATGAATCTATCTTCTTCATGCCTTTTGAAATAGCAGTATAAACTTTGAAACCTTTCTTTTGAAGATTACAATGCCAGATCTAGATAATCAGCTTTTTTTTTCCCAGGGCAGATAAAGTTCATGTTTTGCATTTCTTTCAGACGTGGAGACAAGCTCAGCAACTACTCAGGAGAAATTTCTAAAAAAGAGTTTTTCTGAAGAGGCAGCTTCCCCAGTGGGAAAGACGGAGGGAATTTTAAGGGCAGTGCTTGGAGACTCCAAGATGGGGGACTCCTGGACCTGTGGCCATCAACTGGAGGGCCAGGGAAAGCAAGAGAAGCATTTGCAGTGGCTGTTTGCTGCTCCCAAGGAAAACACATGTGGGGAGAGAGGCTTTGGCTGTAATGAGATGGGGAGAAGCTTCAGGCAGACCTCAGCCTTCATCAGGAAGCAAAGAGTGCCTGGGAGAGAGAGGCCTCAGAAGTGGACCGGGCCAAGAAATAGCCTGAGGTACCAAAGGACCTTCATAGAAAAGAAAACATTTAACTGCATGGAATGTGGGAAAGCCTTCATCTACCATTCAGACTACGTCCTACACCAGAGAATTCACACCGGAGAGAAGCCCTACAAGTGTAACGATTGCGGGAAGGCATTCAGCAACAGCTCATATTTCATCCAGCACCACATAATTCACACGGGAGAGAAGCCCTATGCCTGCCACGAGTGCGGCAAGGCCTTCACTCAGAGCTCATCGCTCACTGAGCATCAGAGGATCCACACTGGAGAGAAGCCCTACGAGTGCAAGGAATGTGGGAAGGGTTTCACCCAGAGCTCCTCCCTTGTCAAACACCAGCGGTGTCACACCGGGGAGAAGCCCTATCAGTGCAGCCAGTGTGGGAAATTCTACTCGCAGGTGTCCCACCTCACCCGCCACCAGAAAATCCAC